CACGCCGCAGCGCATCTACTAGAAAAGAAATTCCATATCCTTATTTGATTGCTTTAAGGGTTTAAAACTACATCTTTCTAAGCTGATGTGGTACTCTTTCCCTCATTAGGGGATCGTTTCTTTTTCATTTCCTTGTGTTAATATGGTGCAACTTTTTATTTCTTTTTATATTCTGTACTCTTTTTCTTCCTTTGTGCCATTTTTTGAAATCCATGCACCCCGCGTTTTGGAGTTGCATCTCAAGAACACATATCCGTGCAATAATAATAATAAAGGAAATATATCACCCCCACACATGCCGGTGACCCAAGAGCAGTTGAGGAAGCGTGCGGAGCTAGTTCGCACCGGTGGCAAGGGTTCTGTCCGTCGTACGGTGAAGGCGCACCACAGGAGCTCGGGTGATGACAAGAAGGTCCAGGGTACCCTCCGTCGCCTTGGTGTGACGCCGTTCAATGACATTGATGAGGCCACCTTCTACCGCCAGGATGGTACTTCCTATTACTTCTCTAAGCCCAAAGTGCAGGCCTCGATGCAAACGCAGTGCTTTGTAGTGTCTGGTGACTACGAGGTTAGGACAGCTGAGGAAGAAGAGTCAAAGAAGGAGTAGTATTATTCTTTAGTTTCCACGGGAAAATGCTTTAGATCACTTCTCCATTTATTGACACGGTGTTTTTGTGGACGATACAAGTAGTTTTTTTTTTACTTTATACTATTTATATCCTCAAACAGGAAAAATGTGGTCCAGATTTGAATCTCATTTTTTCCTCCTGTGTTGTGTCTGTCAGCTTGTTACAGCAGAGAATTGCCTTAACATTCCTACTCATTCTTCATGAATTTTTCATCGCTTATTTAATCATATCAGACAAATTTTTTTGTCCAGCAGTGACTTTTAGAATTAGAATTAACGCAACGAAGAATTAGCGTTCACTTCGCGGTCGTGGAATCACTACTCAATTTTATAGTTGCTAGATTTTTTTCAAAAACGAGCCACCCAAAGAGATTTATTTATCCCAATGATCACAGAAAACGCTGATAACGTTGAAATAAGGCAGTACACCTATAAGTCTGGTGCGTTTTATGAAGGGACATTTGATGGTGTCATGCGGAGTGGCCGAGGTTACTGGCGCCATCCCAAGGGTGAAGTTTATGAAGGTGAATATAGGAACAACAAGGAAGAAGGTCTTGGGGTGTACAAATTTGAGGGGTCCGGCAAGACCTATATCGGGCAGTGGTTGAATGGTAAGATGCACGGCGCGGGGATCTATTATTTCAACCCCGAACACACCGTTTACTATATTGGGCACTATGTTGAAGACCAAAAGCATGACCTTGGGTACTATTGCTATGAGTCGGGCATCCTGACCACCCAGAAGTGGGACATGGGTCGCTTAATCCATGAGGAGCCGTCGACTCCCGTTGAACAGGTAGACGTGGCGATTCAGATTAACGAACTTATAGCGAAGGTGCGCATCGTCGCTCCTCGACAGCTTGGAGAGATATCATCCTCTAAAATGCACACGTTCCAGTTTCCATACGGGGCCACGTATACTGGGCAATACCTCGGAACTAAGAAGCATGGCCAGGGGTACTGGCTACACCCAGAGGGGGATAGCTACGAGGGGCAGTTCGAAAACAACAAGCACAATGGATGGGGAGTGTACATCATCGGTCGCAGCGGGAAGAAATTCGTGGGCTCCTGGCGAGACGGTAAAATGGATGGCATAGGCATTTATTTTTTCAATCCACAGGAAACGGAGTACTTTTTTGGCAATTATCATGCGGACCTCAAGCATGGTTGTGGGATGTACCACTTCGCTGAGAGCGGTCATAATAGATTGCAAACATGGGAGAACGGGGTTCTTAAGGAGGAAATGAGCATGGACGAATCGTCCCTAGCGGAGTACACCAAAGCCATTCACAAGCTTATCCAGACGGTGTGCCCATATGCTCCCAATTATGAGCCCATAGCGTTTGCAGGATAGCTGTGACACTTGTGTATGATTTTGGCGTGCTTTTGTACTGCGTATGCTTGTAAGGAGAAAACGGTCAACGAGTTGGTCCACTGTTCCACCCTTACTAGTCCGCGTGTCTGGGTCAAGGTCATTTCACACATTGCGTTTAATACTTTTACAAAAACCAAAGCCATTATGAGCTTAGTTGCGATGTTGTAATCATCTACTTGGTATCCCATACACAACCGTTGTCTACACGTGTGCTTACACGTCGACAGTTTTGTCATTAACCCAGAAACATAACACTTTCTGCTTTTATTATGAATGAAAGTGTTCATTAAAAAAGGGATGACAAATTTAGGTTCTTGTGGCAGATTTCATGGAAGCACTTCATTAAGCCAACACAATAGGAAAAATCGAAGTTAAAAATACTTCTACAAAAACACCACTAGTAGAACGTATTTAAAGAATACTACTATAATATAAAAAATGGGCACACTAAATTTGTTTAAGCGAAAAATGCATTTCTCTTCAATCAAAATCTCCATAAGCAATAGAATTGACAAATAGAGAATTAGAGTTGTCTGCCTTTTTTTTAAAAGCTTTTGTAAAGCAAACTCTACGCAAGAATACAATGCAGATCTTCGTGAAGACACTGACAGGCAAGACGATCGCGCTCGAGGTCGAGGCGAGCGATACGATCGATAATGTGAAGGCGAAGATCCAGGATAAGGAGGGCATTCCCCCGGATCAGCAGCGTCTGATCTTCGCAGGCAAGCAGCTGGAGGAGGGCCGCACATTGGCGGACTACAATATCCAGAAGGAGTCCACGCTACACCTGGTGCTGCGTCTGCGTGGTGGCATGCAGATCTTCGTGAAGACACTGACAGGCAAGACGATCGCGCTCGAGGTCGAGGCGAGCGATACGATCGATAATGTGAAGGCGAAGATCCAGGATAAGGAGGGCATTCCCCCGGATCAGCAGCGTCTGATCTTCGCAGGCAAGCAGCTGGAGGAGGGCCGCACATTGGCGGACTACAATATCCAGAAGGAGTCCACGCTGCACCTGGTGCTCCGCCTGAGAGGCGGTTAAAGATATTTACGACTCTTTACATTTTTTTAAATATTTTCAATGCTTTATCTTATTATTTTCATCTTTTCAATTTTATTCAACTCTTCACTTTTAAAAATGTTGTTCTCTCTGTTTGCAATTTCTTGTTGGTTTTAATGTTCATTTTTTTAAAAGGTTTCGCCCTTCGTTGTTTACTTTCACCTCTTTCTCCTCCTCTTTAACAGATATTTTCTTATGAATCCTTTCATTTATTTAAGCATTGGGTAAACAATAGTACCAAATAATCGACATTATTTTCTTCTGGTATCATTACGGTTACTTTAGCTTTTTTTCTATTCTTTTATTTATGGGTGCTTGCTGCTGTTTTTACTTTGGTGAAGGCCCTACCAACCTTGATAGTCCTTCACCGAGAGTTCGGTACCCTGTGCATAGCAATCTTTCACGGTTTGGGGATGCCTCTCAAGGGCTCTCGGAAATATCTCAAGCTGATCAACGACCCCGATGTTGCCAGTATTGTGGTGCAGCACTTGATCCTTCTTTGTTAGACGGACATGAGGAGTCATGCCGTGTGAATCACAAAGCCTCCGCTAGCAGAACCTCGGCGCCGACGCCGAAGTTCATCGTCGACGATGATACCGATATCGAAGATGCTAACGAGGATGAGCTCTGTGTCGTTTGTTTTCAACATCGACGCTGCTACATTTTTTTACCCTGTGGGCATATCGCCTGTTGCGGGGAGTGCGTGAAGCGGCTGGACGCGTGCCCAATTTGTCGAGCAGCACGGAACGGCCTTTGCTACGTGCCCGCGAATGTGATCTCGCGATACTACTGCAACAGTTGTGGGAATTTTATCGCCCCGACGCTCTTTGACGGACATCGCGAAGCGTGCGCTTTGATTCTCCGCCAGGCTAAAGAGCAGCACCCACCCTTCAGCGGCTCGAGCGACCTCGCCAAGTTGAGTACAAGTCAAGCTGGGGAGGAAGCTGTGATTCATGAGGATGCTCGCTCAGCGAGTTCGGGCTCCTTGGACAAGAAGGAATTAGATGTCGACATCGAATTGAAGGTCGAGGAGCCGAAGCTTCCGCCAACGGTGCATCCTAGCAAGCATACCTCGGTGCGTTGCGTCGAGTGTGCGAAGGAGGATTCTAAATTAGTAGTATGCCTACCCTGTGGGCATCGAGTGATGTGTGGTGCGTGCGCTGCCAATCGAAGCACCTGCTCTGTTTGTCTACAAGAAATAAAGCAGACGTTGAATGCCTTTGATTAGAATGGATTCTCTTGCGCATTAGTGTATGCATATAGAAGGTGGAGATCGTGAGGTTAATGCTAACTTTTGTATGGCTTCTTATCATTATTTATTCAAAATTTCATATCATTATCAAGATCGAACTGTTGCTTCTACACGAGGGCGTGCTGCAATGGTGTCACTCTTCGTTAGGAACTTGTGATAGCGATAGGATCCCATCATACTTACTATGAGAAGAATAAGGCAGCAACGAGGGAGCACTCGTTGCGTTTATTTTTTTTCTGATGCTTATTTTTAATGCAAAGTGTTGACTGTGTCACGATTGAACACTTGGGAGCTTGTGGTCATATTGTCTTTTGCGTTGCTGCTTTGATTTTTGAGGTCGCACCTATTACGGTGCAGCTATTAGCACTGTTGTAATTTTCATATTTACCTTTTCGCTGAGAATATCGAATTTATAGATCACAATTCTTTTGCATATATTTCCCTCACTACTGCTGCTCTAAAGTGTTATACATTTCGTTTACCTTTTCATATTCTTTGTTTCTTACTAGCGGATTGGTACAACGTTTATTTTTTTCTTAGCTAAAAAATTATTTCTTAATAAATTCATTCTCATCTTTGTTATTTTATTAAAAAACCACAACACATGTAAATCAAGACAAGCATGTTACGTCGAAAGAGAGACATATTGTATACAAATGCGGCGATGCCTTCCAACGACTTTAATAATGCTCAACTTTTCAACGACTCCTAATTTTTCAGGGAGGTGATGTGGAAGAAGAAAAAAGAGAAGCATGCGTTGGAATAGTTTCCCATCCAGCAGGAACGGTATAATATTCTTTTACCTTTATCACTTGCTCAGTTTCGTTACCCTTTTACCCCCCATTCTATTTTCCGGAGTGAACTGCGAGTGAGGAAACACGAGGTGTATTCTTTATTAGTAAGTTCCAAGTCCCGATTTCACCTACTCCATACGCATCCGTGAGTAAAGGCAGTGCTAAACGTGCCGAAAAGTGAAATGAATCCGGGTGTTTCATAGGTGTCGAGCTTGCTCTTTTCCAACCATGTGTGTGCGATGCAGTCGATGTTAGCAGCCATCCCCTTGCTGTTTTTATTAGTTTGTCTGATAGATTCATCCCATGGGGAGAACATTTCCCTTTAGAGCGACGCTCTCCAGCATGAACTGGTTTTGATCATCAAACTATCATATGCCTCTTCGTCGGTGATCATGGGGTCTGTTTGTAATGCTCATCTTTAGTGTCGAAACGTTGCGTTGGAAGAGAACTCTTGAACTCTCGATTGCAGCGAAGGCGTTAGAATGTTATTATAGAGGAGGGTGCAGTCGATTACCCCATCTGGATAGGATGGACAACTTATATAGTTCTCTGCTACATTGTTTATCCTCTTGCCTTTTCATGCGTCAAGGCAGGAATTTAGTTTGAAGTATTTCCATGGCAACCGTATTGTATTGTTCAGCATGTATGATATTGCCAATGAAGCGTGTTGTGAATCTCACTGAAGTTGCCAAATCTTCTTTCCATTTTCCCCACCTCTGCCTGTCGTCTTGGTGAATTTTTGGCTACCTTTCTGAAGAAAAAAAAACGAGAAGGCAGTACCTTAGTGAAGGTAGTTCACTTTTTATTCTTTTCTTGGTTTCTTTCATCTTTTATTTAGACCAACGAACATCTTTCGCCGAACATTTATGCTGGCCGCCTCTTTGCCGTCAACGTTGGAGGGCTTCGTGCGGGCGGAGTTTGAGGATACCTGTTGCCGCCGATTCTTCTACGGCCTCGCGTTTGATCCCTATGGCGGAACGGCCGGGCTTTACGACTTGGGTCCGGTGATGTGTGCGATGAAAAGCAACATGCTCGCGTACTGGCGTCAACACTTCGTGATGGAGGAGGGGATGTGCGAGATCGATCCTACTTGCCTGACGCCGGAGCAGGTGTTTAAAGCCTCCGGGCACGTTGTGCGTTTCAATGACGTGATGGTGCGGGATACCGTTACCGGGGAGTGCATTCGCGCGGATAAGTTTTTGGAGGAGTGGAGCGAAACGCAGCTCGCGGATCCGCAAATCACCCCGGAGCGAAAAGAGGCGATGCTACACCTCCTCCACGACGCCGCCGGGTTAAACCCCGATGGGATTAAGGCGGTGCTCAACACGCACGCGATTAAATCCCCAAAAGGCAACCCGCTGAGTGATCCTTTTCCGTTCAATTTGATGTTCTCGACCTTAATCGGGCCGGAAGGGGATCGGGTGGGGTATCTACGCCCGGAGCTCGCCCAAGGGATTATCCTGAACTTCAAGCGTCTGATGGATTCCGGCAACGCGCAGCGGATGCCGTTCGCCGGGTGTGCGGTGGGGACGGCGTTTCGGAACGAAATCGCCCCGCGCGCGGCGTTGATTCGGGTGCGGGAGTTCACCCTCGCGGAGATTGAGCATTTCGTGAATCCGAATGACAAATCGCACGCGAAGTTCGATCGGGTGCGTGGGGTGACGATCTGGGCGTGGCCGCGTGAGCGGCAGGCGGGCAATGAGGAACCCATTCGCCTCACGATCGGCGACGCCGTGGCGGCGAAGGTGGTGGATAATGAAACGCTCGGGTATTTCATCGCCCGCGTGGCGCTTTTTCTCGACGCCGTGGGGGTTCGATACTACCGGTTTCGTCAACATCAAAGCAGTGAGATGGCGCACTACGCACAGGATTGCTGGGATGCGGAGCTGTTGACGTCGTATGGGTGGGTGGAGTGCGTGGGGATCGCGGATCGCTCCGCGTATGACCTCACACAACACAGCCACGCGAGCAAACGAACCCTCAACGCGCGTGAGGAGTACGACGAGCCCCGGATGGAGCGTCGTCTGCTACGGAAGCCCGTGAAGGGGTTGATCGGGAAAACCTTCGGCAAGCAAGCCGGGGAGGTGATAGAGTACCTCAACACCGCCTCCGATGAGGCGTGTATCGCGATGAAGGAACACCATCGCGCCGGGAAAAACGTCGAGGTCGAGTTGTCTTCTGGAAAAGTCGAGATCACCCCGGCGATGGTGGAGTTTGAGGCGCAAGACGTCAAGGTGACGGGGTACGCCTTCACCCCGAGCGTCATCGAGCCGTCGTTCGGGATTGGTCGGATTCTGTATTGCCTGCTCGAGCAAAGCTATTGGGTTCGTCGGGATGACAACGAGAAGAACGAAAAGCGGGCGGTTTTCAGCCTGACGCCGCTGCTCGCGCCGCATAAGGTGGCGTTGCTGCCGCTGATGGTGAAGCCAGAGCTGATGGAGACGATCGGGGAGTTGCGGGAGGCGTTAATCCTGCACGGCGTCTCCGCCCGCGTGGATGATAGCGGGGTGAGGATCGGGAAAAAATACGCCCGGATGGACGAGCTCGGGATTCCCTTCGCGATTACGGTGGATTTAGAGAAGGACGGCGCGGTGACGCTGCGCGAGCGCGATTCCGCCTCCCAGGTGCGCATCCCGAAATCGAAAGTCTGCGAGGTGATGAGTGAACTCTGCCATACGCTGCGGCCGCGGAGCTGGGCGAGCGTGCAGGCGGAGTTCCCCGCCCAGGCCGCCCCGGCGGAGAAGTGATCGAATATGTGCGTTCTGCTGCACAAACGACAAGGGAGGGGAGGGAAACCAGAGTATACTGTGATCGATGGATGCGCGACGTAATATCTATATATATATCTGTTCCTAGGATTCCGATAAGAAAAATATAAAAAAGCGCGATAATGTTAATTTTTACAATATTAAGTATCCACATTATTTAGCGATTATGAAAACTAACAGTGAATGTGAAAATAAATGGTGATTCTGAACATAAAACCTGTGGAGGGGGGCATTTTTTAAAAAAATGCCATATGGGGTTTATCCAAACTCGCTGGATTTTCTCATGGATCCTGGGTCCAGACGTATGGTAGAGGAAAGCGTTGCAGGCTCTCATTGTGTGTAGGCTTTTTTCTCTTCTATGGAAGCCGCTAAAAAGCAATTGTCTTCCCTCGATGAATCTACTTTAACCCTTATTTTCATATCAGCATTGGTTAGATAGCTTTATTCTTCCCCACAGTTGGATGAATTTGTCCTATTCAAACTCATTTATTTGCTTCCTATGCTTTTGTTTGTACTCATATACATCTATCTATCTATCTATCTACCTATCTAAAGAAAAATAGCAGCTATACCCTATTTTTCACCCCTTTTCGAGGTATTTTTTTACCTAGTAATTGTTATCAATATTTATACTTGTACGTTCTCAGGGACTAAATTTTTTACTTTCAGCCATGTTCAGCAGGCTTTTTGGGAAGGACAAGGGCTCGAAGTCTTCTCAAGGCGGCAACAATGTGTTAGGCAGCATCGAGAAAATTGATAGCTCCATTGAGCTGCTCGAAAAGCGGGAAGCCCTGCTAGAGAAGAAAGTAAGTGAGGAAATCGAGAAGGCGAAGGCATTCTATGTGCGTAAAAATCAAAATGCCGCCTTACAGTGCATGAAGCGAAAGAAGATGTATGAGGAACAGCTTCAGAGCTATGTGAGCCAAAAACAAAACCTAGAAACGCTTCGCTTCACCGTGCAGAACCAGGCCATGAACCAGGAGGTGCTGAAAGCGCAGCTCTCCGCGAAGGAGGATCTCAAGCGAACAAACAAGCGCCTGAATGCGGATAAGATCGAAGAGAACATGGACGAACTGATGGAGGAGATCGACAAGACGAAGCAGGTGAGCGAGGCGTTACGGCAGCCCCTCGGCGGCGAGGTTATTGACGAGGATGATTTGTTGCAGGAGTTGGAGTTAGAGCTGGAGTTGAATCCGGAGAAGGTGGAGAGCGGACATGCGAAAGTTGAAGAGGTTAAGCTTCCAGATATGCCAGCGGTTCCATCCTCCAAGCTCCCTTCTATTTCGCAAACGGCAAAGATGCAAAAAGAGGACGAAGAAGAACTCCTCAAAGCACTTGAAGAGAAGTTGGCAATTTGAAGGAGGACTCCTTCGTTCAATGAGCTAATACTATCAAAATGAAAAGAGCCAACTGCGCGTGATTGATTTATTGATGAGTGGTGGTGAGGGTCGCAGAGAGGAGTCGAAACGAGTAAAGGATAACAAAAGATGGATTTATAGGTATGCTTACTTGGGTATTTTATTAATGTAATGCAATAGTAACCGCACGAGGTAGAGTAATAAAGGGGTAAAAATGAGGGTGTGAGGGTGTGTTTGGGAAATCTTAAGAAAGGGGAATCCACATCGATATTTTTGAGCACCACTTCAGTTGGATACTACTTGCAGCCTCAGGTAAGTTTCTAATTAACAGGAGGATGTAAAGCAAGGCTTCTTCTTGTGAAAGTTAACATTATCTGAAGTTTATTATGATATTTCCTTGTAATTAGTGAACATTATTTTTTTTATTCTATCCTTATCTTGCGTTTAAAAATCGCTGTTACGAAAAAAAGGAAACTGTTCTATTGATACCTATGGTAAGTCATGCTTAATCATTGTGCTCCAGAGGAGCCCAAGAGAGGGATTGGAATTATTCAAATACATTGTTTTCCACTTGCTAGTCAAAATTTTTGCGGCTCGACAGACCCATAGCAAACGTTATGCTTGCATTATTATTATTATTATTATTATTATTTCTGGGAACCCCCCCGCCTCCTTCGTGGACCTCTTAGCGGAGTCATCCATCTGTTGCTTTTAATATTCTTTTCCTCCTTTTTTTCCCTTTACATTAAACTTTCCAATTGCACCAATCAACCCACTAGAGCACGTTTTCATTTTCGATTCATAGCCCTTTCCTCAACTATCAGAATCAACGCCAACAATCCATTAGTGGGAGGGGGGATTCGTCTTTTCCCTCCTCGTATTCTTTCCCCCTTTTCCCTGTGTGCGATGCGAGTCCCTCGGCAATGGAGGGGTGGTTTGCGAGCCCGCTATTTTTTTGTTTTTTGGATCGTGTTCTTTGCATTTCTCCCGTGTGGGTGGGGGAGGCTTCACGCGGTGTCGAGTATTGAATTTTGTCGCGGCATCGAGCACGATCCGACGGAACCCCCGGGTTGTCAAAAGAAACTCGTTACCCAACTCCACCTCGACGACGTCCGCATCACAGGCGCCCCGCACAACCACACCGTGGTCATCAAACAGGCAACCGATCACACGCTTTTCGGCGAGGCAGGGCCCGCGGTGGTGAATTTTTCGCCGTTTTCCATTTTCCTCAGCCACAGCCTGATTGAAAAGCACTATTTAATGGTGTTTCAACGGTTATACCCGGCGTCGTTCAGCGAAAAAGTGCGAAAAGTCGGCGAATGGGTCGGCTCCTGCGGCCCCAAGGATGATCTTTGTGGGGGCTTTACGCGTCTGGATGGGCGCTCCGTCGGGCGTTCGCACGGACTCTGCTGCAGTTGCCTTGACGCGGTGGGAAAGAACACCACGGGGAGCCGTCTTGGGGAGGGTTGCCATAATCACACCGTCTTTTTTGGTGTTTGTTTGATTCCCCATGCGCTGCACTACGCCGGGTATGAACTCCAAAAGCGGGAGTTGTCTTATGACGTCAATGTGAGCATTCACGCCATGAAGGGGTCGCGAGAAAACGGGGAACCCAACACGGAAACCGAGGCGGAAGGGGTGTGGATTTCGTTAAACCCCAGGATGCCCTCCCGGGTGGTGGGGATGCGGTTCCGACCGGACGGCAAACGTGAGGCTTCCACCCCACACCTTTCCACGCTCACGATCACGCGGGTTGAGCTTCTCGAGCGGAATGCGGATCTTTCCGGGTTTGTGTTGTTCATCCCGGAGACCCCGGCGGATCACGCGCGGGTCCGCGCGGGCGTCGCGGAGTGGATTCTCCTCCCACCCGCCGCCGTCACGGTGGATGGGCGGGCGTCGGATAAGGTCGGCGTCTCCCGTGAGGCCTGGGAAGAGCGGCCGCGGAGCCACTGCCTGAATGGCTCCGGGGAAGGGTATCGGCATCAGTTGGAGGAGTTTCGCGCGGCGGATCTCGCCGCCCGCGCCGTCGGGGAGATCCCCCACGCGATGGCGAGGTATCTCGGTAGTTTTTCCATCCTCCCTCCGCCGGCATCGACGGGGCGGCGGGTGGCGGAGGGGTCGTATTTGGTCGATCGCGCGGATTCCTACGGCGCGATGCGGTTGAACTGGACGATCAGCGCGGATGAACTCCACTACGCGTTGACGGCGTCGGGTGGGGTGATCGATCACGCATCCGCCACGCCGGTTGGCGGGGAAAACGAAGAAAAGAAAAAGGAGAAAAAAGGGAGAAAAGAGAAGAAGAAAGAGAACGAAACCCCAAATCCGAATAGCGCTGCGGTGCTCGCCGTCGTTGTAAGGAATTCAGGGGTGGTGGGTTCTCGCTATACCGTCCTCGCGGCGAACTGCACGGGAGGCGTGGCGGTTGATGGGGAAGGGTGCCGCGAATTCGAGCTCCTTCCTTCTCAAACCGTTCCCGTTGAGTTTTCGATAATTCGATCACACCCTAACGCGGATGCTTCTTCTTCTTCTTCTTCTCTGGATGAGGCCTTTCCGCAGTGTGAGATAGAGCTGCTTGGCGCGGATGGCGTGCGGTTGGCGCATCGCATTTTAAGCTGGAGCGCAACGGATGAACATCCCCCTCATGGAAGGAGCTCTGGCGGAGGGGAGGGAACGCACGGGAGGTGCCATTTTATCAATCTCGTTTGCGTTCTTTCTGGGAGGAGTTTTTGGCAGGTAACGGGGTGGACGTTGATCGGGCTGGGTATTTGCTTTGTGTGGTTTTTGATCAACCACTTTCGCTACGGTAAGGGTTCTTCCCGGTCGGAAAAGGAGGAGATCGAGGCGAATCCGCCGAATGAGGTGTTTTCCACCACCTCCCCGTTGTTTTACGCTAAGGGTGCGATCCACGTCGTTTCCGTGCCTGAGCTAAATTATTCAGATCCGGGGAAGGATAGTGGCGGCGCATTGCCGATTGCATCGACAGCCCAGAGTCCGTATCATCAATCGGAGTTTGAGGCTCTCGATGATAAACCTTCGCCATCATCGACCCTTCCTCCCGAAACACGTCTGAACCATCCCGGTGACTGCAATACCGTTTTGCATAGTGAGGTTTCTCCTAATGCAGCTTCTCCTAGTGCAGTTTCTCCTGGTGAGGTTTCTCCTAGTGCTGCTTCTCCTAGAAGCATCCGTTCACTCAAATAGGAGGTCTTGAGTCTTTATATTAGGCGAAGTTATGTCTTATTTAAAATTAAATTAATGCTTCTTCATATCATTCGTCATACTTTTTGGATTATTTCACCTATACCAATCATTCGTTTTATTTTGTGTTCTTTGCTTTTAGAGCTCATTTGTTATTCAAGCAATTACTCATTGTATACATGTATGAAAGAATAATAATTACAGTCGATGAGATACCAAGGAAGGGTTTATAAGCGCTAATTCTCTTATTTGGTATTTTTTCCCAATACGTGCTTATAAATTAGCTTTTAATTTCGAGCCAAGATATTGAATATAAAACACAGTGCACTAATAGCGCGAGCAACATGCTACGAAGCTTCTTTATTCCTTTCTAATCTATATGCACTGGCTTTTCCAGTTTGATGTAATGTTTCCTATTTTCATGAATTTCATCACCCTCATAATTATTTTGAGGGGAGGAAGATAGCCGCTAGCTGTATGGATTATAAATTAATCACCACAGAGTTTTCTCTTCGAAATAAATTGTGTCTGTATATATAAATATATATCGTTTGAATGATTGGATTGACGTTCATATGGGTACGCTTGCTTTCAATCCCATTTTACACGTTCAGAGTGTTGATGAACGTGATTGTGTAGTGATCAAAACATCGGAAGGGTTAACCAAGGGACACTTGGAAGTCTATAAGCTAAGACTCCCTTATGTTTTGTGAGAAAATAGTGGCATCCCTTTGCCTACTATTGACTCCTTTTTTTTTATGGAAAGAATCATTATTACATGCACTTTTCATTACCTTTCGATTTCTTTCAGTAAAACGTGCAACTGAGAGGGGTTTAGTCAGGATAAACGATATATATGCCTCAGAGTTGTTGCCTTGCGTATTCAGCGGTCTCATCTCACTTTAAACTCTGTAGATGGCGCGTGATGTGCAAGTTATAACTATTTGTGATGTAGCAATCTCGAATTAATTTCTAATGTGTGCTTAACCCTCTCCCACAATTTATTCATGACACTTTCCTTTTGTTCAGCCTTCAAGTTTATCCCGTCTAGTGTGAGCATGGAAGTGGAGAGCGTGCCGTGGGAGGTGATTGGATCCTTCTTGAGCCTGCACCTTGAATGTTCTTTCCATTTGAGCGCGGATGCGGGGATGGTTGCAACGGAGGGACTTGACGCGTGCATTAGCCGTTGAGTTATCGTCGTGGGTTCACGCGTTGATGTACGAGCATGGGGGGAGTGCCCAGAGTCGAGGGGCTTCTGCTGGTGATGACGTATTTAGTCCAACGGCGTTTGACTGGACGTCCTCGAGTAGATGGGTGGAACACCCCGAATGAATTAGAGGTGATAGGCTTATATGAAAGGGGAGGAGGGGATGTAGAGTGAGAAGGGCGGTGGAAGCTTAAAGTGCTTCACGCTGCTTTCGCGTCTCTTTCTCCGTGACTCTTTTCCGATATCCGTATTCAGGTACCCACGAACAATCCCACCCGGAGTATACTCTTTTTAATCTCTTGTGTGGACCTAAGGGCTCCGAGAGTACGATGCTTTCATCGGGTTCTCTGTGAATTCGCTGGCATCCTTTCTTTTGCCTTTACGCAAGGCTTGGGCGATGTGGAGAAGCGCCGCCATCGGACACTATGGTTGCTCCAACAATAGCCCCTAGTGATGAAGTGTTTTGTGCGCGAGATCCGTCTATCGATGTATGGGTTCTGCAGGTAACGGCGAACTTTCGGAGAAGGGGAGTGCGATGAATGCAGGGCGCACCGGGTTGGATGAGGTGCTTGGTTGTTTGTGATGGCATATTTTGTTTATTACATCATTCCTCCCTCGCCACCTCCTGCAACTCCCCAAAGCACAGCAGTAACACTGTTGTAGGGTGTGCGTGGTGTGGTGCGTGGTGTGGTGTGTGTGTGTGTGTGTGTGTGTGTGCACTTGAATGCCGCGGGGTGCGAAGATAGTGGCCAAATAAAGGAACATGATCAGAGGAACTTCAATTTCTTTTCATGATGGAACGGCTACGAGATGGCACTTTATCAGGGGTACGCGGCGCCTCCTTTTTTTCTTCTCTTAGTTCCATGTATTTTATTAGTGGAGCAAACACCACCTATGAGTCGCGAGGGTGAGGTATTCTCTCTGCACATTTATCCCTAATATTAATTAACGTATGTGTACTACCCTCAACAAAGTACTGACCCTAATTGTATTTATTTTTACTGTTTTGTTGATTTTGTCTCAAGTCATTTAACGGCTTATTTCTTTTTCCTTTTCCTAGATCTAAAGGGCCTTTCCTCCTTACAGACACTATAAAGGGTCTATAAGCTTTTTTCGGTTATTCTGATATATGGTATCCGCACCTATCTGTATGCCAATATATACAGCGATAGGGAGTGTTTGCTTTCAATACAACGCAAGTGTTACTGTTCGTGTAGGGGCCCGGTGCGTACTTTTACCCAATGCTAGCGGTCGTGCATGAATACCTGGCGGAGTGCGAACGGCAGCACATCCCTCCTTTTGAGGGATTCGTCAACCACCTTGACGCGTGTGCGATCGATGCGGATTTGGATGGGGTGCCGGTGCGAACTATCCGCGTTTTTGCGATGGCGCTCAGCCGTGTGGGGTTGGACGCGGCGCCTCACCCTTCCCGCCCCTCTTCTTCTCTTTCTCCTTCTCTTGCTCGCTCTCGCCGGGCTCGTGGGGGGCCATCGGAAAAGAGGGGGGGAAGGACCCGTGAATCCCCCCCTCTGACGGGGAAACTCGTCAAATTTTGCCTTCGTTGTGGTTGTCGGCCACGGGGTGCGGCTCCTCTCCCTTCTCGTGCGGCCTCGACGAGCATTACCGCCCCTTCCCAGCGGCGCGCCCTCGCGGAGCTCATCGATGGCGTCCGCCACGCCCTCAACGTCAGTCATGAGGCCCTTCGCGAGGTCGAACTCGCCGGATTTCCCCTCCGAGAGGTGGGGGAAAGCTCCAGGCGTTTGATGCGGGCGCTCGCGTCGTGTACGCGGCTTCGTTCGGTCTCGTTGCGTGGTTCTCTTCTTACGCCGACGCTTTGGGCGGGGCTGACGGCATCCTCGCCAGGGTGTTTCCCTCATCTGGTGGAGGCCGCCTTCGCGGGGTGTGGGCTGACGGATGAGAGTGCGCGGGGATTGCAAACGTTGATTTGTCTCCGACGGGGTTCCGGCGCGTTCGCGCACTGGCAGCGTTCGTTACGCGCTTCCACGGGGGGTTTAGGCTTCTCAAACGGATACGAAGGGGATCGCAGCGCGGTGGGTTTGACGCGGCTGGATATTTCCGATAACCAACTCGGGGATGCCACCCTCCGGGCCCTCGCGGTGACGCTCCGGAGCGATTCCTCGTTGCGATTTTTAGATTTTAGCCACAACGCGGCCTCACGTGACGGGATTCAGGCCTTTGTTCTCAGTGGGGTGTTGGAGGATAGCGGGTTAGAGGCGGTGGATTTAAGCCACAATCCCGGGACCAGTGATTTTCACACGCGTGCTGTCGGAGGTCATCAGGAAGGCGCGCATCCGATTCTACAGCTCCCGTATGCGCTTGGGAACACCTTTCAGGTTGTGCATCACGGCCTGGGGCAGTGCTTGTTGCTTCGCCAGCACGCAGCCGGAGCTGCCGACGCCGGCAAACCGCGATCGTCGCGGCCACACGTTCAGTTTAACACCTCCACGGGCAAGCCTTCCCCCATTCCCCGCGGTGTTGATGCCGCCACGGCTTCCACAGACGCCCCTTTCGATGACCACCTTCCGGCGTCAGCACAGCAGCCGTATAGTGCAGCTGCTCCTCCTTGTGCGTTTCACCCACCTTATCCGGCGACTCACCCCACGGCGGATTCGTCCGCAATGCCTGCCGCTGCTATCCCCAACGCGCCGCTGCCGATGCATCCTGTGGCCGTTCCCTGCCCTTCTACGGCTGCCCCTATGTTTGCTGCCCCATCTCCGTGGTGGGGAAACCGCCGCGCGGGCTACGAGTGTTGCTATCCGTTGCTGATGATGCCCGTTCTGGCGATGCCTGGCGGCGTTTGCCCGCGCTGCGGCGCGATGAACCCCCCTCAAGGGCGGCCCTCACCGCCTCCCGCGCGTGGCGAGGCGGCCGATGGGCTCCCCCCTGCGGCGGCGGCGACGACGTTCGCCAAGGCAACGCCGCATTCCTCCCATGATGGGGCCGCGTCGGCGCGTCCGACCTCCGCGCCAATCGATCTTCCAACGCTGGACGGGATGGTCTCTAGCCCGGTGGTCGATTCCGATCTAATCCCGATCCCGGAATCCCGCTCCGCGCCTCCGGTCGGGGTTAACGAGGCCGCCGAGAGGGTCTCCCCGAAGGCGGAGGAGGCGGAAGAAGGGGCGACGCCGGTCGACCCGCACCTCGCGCCCCCCTCAGCGGAGACCCTCTCCGCCCCGCTCAGCTTCTCCCCGGTCAGCGAGGACGTCCCACTCGGGGAAAGGGAAAGGGAAGGGGGAGGGGGAGGCTCGCCCGGCTCCCTGGCGCGGAGCCTCCAGCGCCTCGCCGGGGTCTTCGCCTCCGGCCTGGAGCAGCAGGAGCTGCTTCTGACCGAGCGCCTGGAGCGGTCCCAGCAGCAGACCACCACTCGTCTCGACGCGTTTCGTCGGGACCTGGTCGATCGGATGGGCCACCTCGCACAGGCCCAGCGGGAGATGGAGGGACGCCTGGTGGG